GCAAAGTGCTGGGATTACAGGTGTGAGGTACCGCTCCCAACCAGTTTGCTGGGTTTTTATGGAAATTTATTGTATCCTTATTCTAGGGCTCCTGTTCATGGTCTAGGGCCTTCTTGCCCAGGAAAAGAACATATATATCATAAAAGCAATTTGGAGACAGGAAGGATTTGGGGAACAACAACCATCAGTGAGAAATGGATATTGTCAGGAGGCCCTGGGCTGTGACGCAGCTTCTAATCTTAATCTTAGGGAGTTATACCTTATTTATAACAATCACAAGACATAACTCAGCACCCAAACAAATACTAGCTGGTAGTAGTTTTAGTAACACTTTAGTTAACTAGAGTCCAGCTTAAAGCTAGGTATCTGGAAAACTGAGGCTTAATGGTAAGTCTAAAACTCAAACTCTGTCTATCTGAAGGCTTCATTCATAGCATTTGGAGTCATAATGTTATTTTTTAAATAATAAAGTAAATAATTTCAAGTATTTACTTTCTCATTTTTATTTTTATTTTTTTTATTTTTAAATTTTTATTTTAAGGCCAGGGGCCTAGGATGCAGCTCAGCAGCTTCACCATGGCCTCAGGCTTATTTTAAGTATTTTTCTTTTTCTTTTTGAGGTGGAGTCTTGCTCTCTCACCCAGGCTAGAGTGCAGTGGCACAATCTCAGCTCCCTGAAGCCTCCCCCTCCTGGGTTCAAGTGACTGTCCTGCCTCAGCCTCCTGAGTAGCTGGGACTACAGGCATGTGCCACCATGCCCAGCTAATTTTTGTATTGTTACTAGAGACAGAGTTTTACCACATTGCCCAGGCTGGTCTCGAACTCCTGACCTCAAGTGATCTGCCCGCCTTGGCCTCCCAAAGTGCTGGGATTACAGGCATGAGTCCCCGTGCCAGGCCTATTTTAAATATTTTTCTAATAGTGAGAAAATAGGCTGAGAAAAAAATGAAAGACAGCCTTAAGACTGATGAGTCTTAAGTGTGATAAATATTTGCTGCATGTTAAGTGATAAGCTAACTAAAAGGTGCATTTTTAATGTTTAATTTACTCCCAAGGCCTTCTAAAAATTTTTTGTTTTATATCTCAAATCAAAATTTTCAATACATTAACTAGTCTAGATTTGAAAGTAGAAGCATCAGAATCTGTGCTTTTTTTTTGCTGATTTCAGGATGAATCAATACTGATCAGAACAGGTCAGAACCACCTCTTGCCTCTTCTTGTATTTCTAATTATACTTTCTTTCAAAAATAACTGAAATTCCTTGATGGTTCTAGGAGGTTTCTTAATATGCTTTTTAAAAAGTTTTAATACAGACAGGGTCTCACTTTGTGGGCCAGCCTGATCTTTAACTCCTGGGCTCAAGCAATCCTCCTGCATCGGCATCCCAAAGTGCTAGGATTACAGGCATGAGCCACCACACCTGGCCCAGGAGGTTTCTGATTTCTAACGAAACAAAATATAGGGAAAACTCTTTGTCTTTTAGAATTATTCTGCTGCAGTCCTCATGAACAGCTTTTTATTTGGGGGGGGGGGGCTTTTTCAAAAATTCTTTTTGTTTTTTCAGAACTAGAAATCAAAACATCAGTAGTACATTATTCTTTGGCAGGTTAGGCCCCATCTTTCTGCCACATGAAGTGTTAATACTATTGCATGCAAAAATGAGTGGTATGTGTTCCTTTCCTAATTTTTTAAACAGATTTTTCTCTTAATGGGGAAAAAACAATTAGCAGATGAATAAACTCATTGTGATTAAGGTAATATACTTTAAGCCTGGGCTGTTCAGTTGTGTAGCATAAGCTATATGTGTGTTCATCAGAAATGAACTAAATTAGAGTGGTGGGCTCAGAAGCAGAAGGCAACATTGAAATGCTATAACCCAATCCTCTACTCAGGGCATGATACCTGTCTACCACATTCAGGCACAGGCTGAAAGACATGGACACTTTCAAGCCTGTGCCTGAATATCTCTAAGACTGCAACTTTATATCCCACCCCTCAAGCTTATCCTGGATTAGTGAAATGACTTGGAAGATTAAAGCTTATCACTAAATGCATTGTAGAACCTGAGGCGATCAGAGCAAGACTTTGGAGAAAAGATAGAATTGTACTTGCCATAAATTAGTATACTACCTAACCTGGGAAATAAATTAAAAACTGTGATTTGATTTTCATAATAATTAATATAAAATATCCTTTAGGTCATTTCTAATTACAAAAAAATTTCCATTCAAGTCATTCCTCAGTTCAAATTTTTTTAAGTCTTTCGACTACCTTCGAAAAGCAGGTCTGATTCCCAAGTTCTGCCTTTTGACGGAGAACACTTACGAAAGAGGTTGGGGTCTGTCTTTATGGTTAATGTGAATCCATTTCCTGGCTCATGGACTCGGAAGAAGATCATGGCCACATTCTGCGAAGATCTGATGCTCCTCCTGCTAAGACCACTCTCACAGAAATCTATGTAGCGCTCAGCTGTGGGGAGAGGATGATCCTGGGAACTGGGGAACTTCTCCCCCTTGAGAATCCAACCATCAAATACCTTTGGAAAAAAAATACAGACATAGTTGCCACCATTTCCATCAACTCCTGAAGTCAGGGGTGAGTTGAAAAGGGGGGAAAAGTTATCCAGCAATGGGCCTTCGGTCATAAGTGAGAACTGACAGTCCACACTCTGCCTGCTTGCTTTTCATTTGTATATATTGGACGGTGAGAGTTGTTTGCAAGTAATAGTATTAATTAATTATTTTTCTTTATAAGCCTTAAAGCTTCCAAAGTAAACAAACTTCCTTATATTTTATCATTTCAACCACTTTGGTAAATGAAACCACATAGCACATTTTTACCTTGGTCATATTTTCTACCTCCCACCTTCAGAAGAATTCCACAGAAGCATAACTTGGGTTTCATTTAGCTCCTCTCTTTCACTAGTCATTGAAATGTGAATAAAACATCTCAAAAATAGATAACAAAAGAAAAAACTGGAGCAGCAACTTTATCTGCTAACGGCTATATACATCTATTTTTTTCCCTTTCTGTTTTTTAAATATATCATCACATACGACTTTAAAATATTGAGAACTGCTTCAACAGCCAGGCAATGATGGCTGGTATGCTACCTAGGACATTTTTCCTTCACTTGTTTAAAGTTTGCAGTTGAACAAGGGGTCAGTGTCTATTGACTTGACTCTCAAAATCACGACAGGTCTCCGGTTTAATGAGTCTAATCTAGTCCACATTAGCAAAATTATCAACAACCCAGCTACAAATTACTTCTAATGCATGTGACAGGTTCCAAAATAATTCTACTTTGGAGACGTTAATCACGATTATTTTAATTGGACAGTAGAGCTCCACCGGCCACCCCACGCTGCCCTGTTACACTTATGGAGTCTGACGACTGGAAGCAGGGAGGCAGTCAGCTTAGGGGTCTTGTCCTCCTCTCCCACCTGTCTCAGTCCAGATGCCCCCTCGGCAGCCAGTCCCCTACTGCTCCAAAATCGGGTCACCCGAGCCCTGAAGACAGCCTCTGTGCTCTCAGAGTGAGTGCCGAGCGCGGACCAGCAGGAGCGAGGCGGGCTCAGATGTGAGACGTGTGGGGCGGGCCTTCTAACCAAGACGGCCCGCGTGGTGGACCCCAGCGCTCGAGCTTGTCGGTTTTTAATCGTATTTCTTCGGCCCCGGATTACATCACAGCGTTCCGCGCTGCGAGTTCAAGTCTTTAGAAGTTCCCAGGGCCTCGAAAACGCCTAAAAGGGAATTTAGACCACGCAGCGTCCAGAGCCACCGGACCCAGCCCTACGGGATGGGTGTGGGTCGAGGTCTTAGGGTAACGGCGAGCTTCTTGCCTGCGGAGGGTCCTAGAGAGCGCCTCTCCGACTCGGGCACCAGCGAAGTGTCTCAGAATTGCTACCCACGCTCGGCAGCCCCACGCTGGGCACAGCGCCCAGCGCTTTCCAACGCTCCCGTGCCCCCACCCACCGCACCCCCGGCTGGGCTGGCGCTCCGCAGGTGCCTCACCTTCAGGAAGTCGCCGCCCTGACAGTCGATGGAGACCAGGTCGTAATGGATGGTGATGAACTCCTCCGGCTCGCTGATGAAGAAGGCGGCGCAGTGCAGCTGCGGCCGGTCGGCGGTGAAGGTGAACTGGCCCTGGAGGCTCAGCATGTCCAGGCACCCTGGGGGAGGAGGGCACAGGGCACGGGCTGCAGCCGTCACGGCGACGGCCTCAGGCGGCCCCTCTCCGCGCGCCCCATGCCCAGTCTCTGCGGCGGCCAGCGCTCGGAAGCCCAGCCTCGGCTGCGCTGGGTTCCCGCGTCCCAGGCGCGCCACCCCCTTCCGCTCTCAGCTCGCCTCCGCGGACCCATCCCTAGCGAAGCGGACCGCGCCCCTGGCGGTCCTGACCAGCCTCCTCCCGGAGATGCCCGCTAGCCCTCGGCCCTCCGCACAGAGTCCCAGGCTCCCGCGAGCCGGGCAACCCCGACTCACGCAGAGCGCGGCGGTACGGCTGCTCCCCAGCCAGCTCCCGCTTCAGGTTGGCGCTGAACAGCAGGAAAGGTTCGTAGTCTGCCGCTTCCCGCAGCTGGCAGGGAACATGGGTCAATCCGGAAAAGTTCAAGGACTAGGAATAAAAAAGGGGACCAGGAGCGGGGCACCCTCCCTGCCACTCAGCATAACGAATAAAGAGAGAGGGGTAATGTTTCTCCGGGTCCAGAGAAGACGGGGAGGTCTTAGACCCTCTCCATCAGGCTGGGGTATCTCCAGCAGCCAGAGGAAGGCAGGCAGGCAGTCTGGGATGCTCAGAGTCAAGGAGGAAGACCAGGATAGGGGAAACCAGGGGCAGGAGAGCATCCAGCAGAGAGGGAAGAAACAGCGAACCCCAAAAGGCTGCGAGCAGAGGCAACCTGCCTGCCACCTAGGGCTCACACGCAAGGAAGGTGAGATGGGTCAGGCCAGGGGTGGCTCACCTCTAGGTACCGGCTTTCCCCTCTTAGAGCCGTCAGGAAGATGAGAACGAAGTGACACTGAAGTTTGAAGTTGGGTGACATGCTGGCCTTGCCTCTGCAGCTGCTGTGCTCTGCTCCGGAAGTCCTGGGCTTTCCTTCCCACACCCTCACGCAGACTGAGAGCTGGAAGCTGGTAAGGTCCCTTTGCTGGGTCTCTTTTATAGAGCAATGGGGAGCGGAGGCTCTCTGCCCCTAACTGATCGGAGCTCAGTAACCATGGGTTACCCTGTCTCATTGACAAAGTACGTGGTGATGACGAGGGTCCAGCTCTCAGCCACAAATTTTCAGCGTGGCCCAGCATTATTCACCAAGAATGATTTCAGTCACTACAACTTAGTGCACTAAAGTACTGGAGAATGAGGCGGAGACAAAGAATAATGGAGGGCATTTTGTTGACCTGCCAAATGCTACATTATTCTTTCTGAGGGCATTCAGGGAATTTTCCATTTTGCAAATCAAAGTAACAAAGTTACATACATGCACAAAATACTCAAACACATATAGCCTGTATTGTGCAGCATCATCACATAACCTTGGATGGAACCATACTAGAAATTGTCAAATAATTTAGTATTCATGCAATTACTCATGCCTCTCAGTAAGAAACGTGAGGCATTTTCATCTTTAAAAAGTGGTAGAACAGAAGTCTGATTTTACAGAATTGCAGTAATGCAATTGTAAGCTTTCTTCCTGCCCCTTACCCTTTGCTTTATCCTAGTCCAGTTTCTTATAAGCATTTCTTTCATGGAAAACTAACTCTGGTGTCACTGGACTTCTGGACTTTAGCTGATCTCTGTCACTTGACCTGAATGTTTGCTTGATGTACACACTCCTAAGCCAGGTAGCTGTAGACATGACCTTCACATCCATCTGAACCACTGAGAGATTAAGACATTCCATTTCATGCCTTCAAATACCTGGATTACTTTAACACTCTGGTAAAAAGAACTGCTGAGAAGCTTTATTATAACTGCTCACCAGCAAATTTACAGGGCTAAAAAAATGACTTAGGGATCCAGAAATAAGTATAAGCTTATCTCTGCTATTAGGAGAGAAGAGAATTGCTTCTTTGTGTCCAAAATTGTGGGAAACATGAGGATGCTCCACTTTTGGCTTTCCTACCCCTTTCCAGTCTCCGTACAAGCATTGTTATTACAATTATTACAAACAGTGAGACCATAATTCAGAGTTTTAAAGGAAGGAATGGCTGTACTTTTAATTTTAAAATATTCAAATTAAACAGTAATTATCCTGGCAGTGTCAGAACTGGATTATTTTTATGTCAGGACAATTCTGAGCTCTGGAGAGGCTTCCTCTTTGTTGTTTAATCAGGAGGCCTTCCTGCCACAGTCCAACTTTGTAAGCAGTCCTCAGACCACAGACAGTGTGAGGGAAAAGAGTACCCAAAGCTCGTGGACACTGGCCACCATGTCCTTCTCATCCCCAGAGCTGTTGAGATGTCTGAACTTTAAAAAGGTTATAAAAAAAACTGAGAGGAATAAAGGAGGAGAAAAACAAACTATTTGACCCCAACTTGCTGGCCTCAGACATGCCAGGCCATCTTCAGGTCTATCTCCCAGCCTTTTTGTGCCTAGAGGGAGCCTCAGGCCTACTCACCCAGCACGCCATGACCCAGGCCCTCTTCCCTGTCTTTTTTTTTGAGATGGAGTCTTGCTCTGTCTCCCAGGCTGGAGTACAGTGGCGTGACCTTGGCTCACTGCAACCTCTGCCTCTCAGGCTCAAGTGATTCTTCTGCCTCAGCCTCCTGAGCACTAGGGACTACAGGCACGAGCCACCGTACCAGCTAATTTTTTGTATTTTTAGTAGAGACCGGGTTTCACCATGTTAACCAGGTTGGTCTCGATCCCCTGACCTCGCCATCCGCCTGCCTTGGCCTCCCAAAGTACTGGGATCACAGGCATGAGCCACCACACCCAGCCAGGCCGTCTTCCCTTTCCCATTGACTTAGCCACAGTTCTTGGCCCGATCCCAGAATTCAGTCCAGCACCCGCCTTGGAGACCTCTGCCTTTACCTCTTTGGGGGTCTGGTACCTGGTGTCACTCCAGCTCAGTGTTGCTTTATTAGCATCACCAAGGAGACATTCTTGGCCATCCAGCCCCTTTACAAGCTTATGTACATGTGCACGTGTACACACACACATGCACACACGCACATGCATGAATAACACTGATGTTCCCACCCTGCTCTCATGATGCCCCCTCCTCAGGAACCACACACAGCAAGAGCTGGGATGAAAGTGCACTAACATAGGGACTAATTTTACAAACATCATAGCACAGCGTCTGATTTTACTTAATCCACAAATTATAGTACAAGATGAACCTCATTCCCACCAAATTCTAGGTGATAAATTAATGTGCAGTTTTCACCAGTTTGGTAAACACCTACTAAGCCAGTGGAAACTACCTTTTTTAAAAAAAGTAAGGACGACTAATTGATGGAAACTACAACCTATGGAGGAAAACTAAGATTAAATTGGAAAACAAGGAGAAGCCAGGTAGCCATTCCCTCTGAGAGAAAGTATTAAAAATGGGTGAGAGAAATGGAAGAGTAATTTGGATTAAGCAGAAGAAAAAGTTTCTTGGCAACAAGTAGGCCTATGTTTGAGGACTAAGGAGAAATTATTTTCGTGGACTGCTTTGATCATTCAAACAATTGGCTTAATATTTGAAAGTCGTTTGTTCAAACCGACTGGATTTTTTTTTTAAATATGTTCTGGATAAATTCAGAGCTCCCATGTTGATTGGAAATTACCTCTATGTTAACCTCCATCCTTTTCAAATATTTCAGTTTTTCTCCATCTTTTTCCAGGTAGCTTCTCCAATGTTGCTGTTATACAGTCCCTGATAGGTGCTTTTGGGGTCTTCAACAATTATTAGGCAGGGTTAAGACTTTCTTTTTGGCCGGGCGTGGTGGCTGAAACCTGTAATCCCAGCACTTCTGGGAGGCCGAGGCGGGTGGATCACGAGGTCAAGAGATCGAGACCATCCTGGTCAACATGGTGAAACCCCGTCTCTACGAAAAATACAAAACATTAGCTGGGCATGGTGGTGCGTGCCTGTCATCCCAGCTACTCAGGAGGTTGAGGCGGGAGAATTGCCTGAACCCAGGAGGTAGAGGTTGCGTTGAGCCGAGATCGCTCCATTGCACTCCAGTCTGGGTAACAAGAGTGAAACTCTGTCTCAAAAAAAGAATAAAAAAAAGACTTTCTTTTTGTTAGGCAGGATTAAGACATTTTTTTGTTTCATAAAGCCCCAGAGCAAATTGTCACCTATGTTAAGCCTAAAGATGAAATGAAGGTGGCCTCCCAATAGCCAGATCCAGATTCAATCCATGAACATGGGGGCAGGTGCAGAATTTAAAATTGTGCCAAGACTGAAGAGGTGCATACAGAGCGATTCTGACACTTCGGCACATAGCCATAGCAGAGCCTCCACAGGCTGCACTTGGCTTACACAGTCACGTTGTAGGCCATGTTTTCAGGGGGACCACAAAATCCCTTTGCATGCAAGTTAGAAGTCGTAATATGACCTGTAATAATAAATTTTTTATTTTGTTTATCACGTCAACACAGTATATCACTAATACATGCTTTAGGTGAACCTCCTTTTTCCTTTCCTGACTAGTCAATTAGCTGAAATGTAAGAAAACTGAACATGATTGCGTTCTTTAAGAAATAAAGACTGCTGACTAAAACTCATTGTAGTTAGCCAACAACCACCAAGCAGTTGTCAGTTGCTTTCAAGATGACTTGCTTGAATTAATTTAGCTATTATTTTTATTGATTGTGGTAAGAAGAGTTAAAACAGGAGATCTACTCTTTTTATTTTTTTTTTTTTTTTTGAGATGGAGACTCTGTCGCCCAAGCTGGAGTGCAGTGGCGTGATCTTGGCTCACTGCAACCTCCACCTCCTGGGTTCAAGCGATTTTCCTGCCTCAGCCTCCCAAGTTGGGACTAGACACACGCCATCACGCCTGGCTAATTTTAGTAGAGACAAGGATGCCACCATATTGGCCAGGTTGGTCTCGAACTCCTGATCTCGTGATCTGCCCTTAGCCTCCCAAAGTGCTCGGATTATAGTCGTGAGCCACCATGCCTGGCCACGAGATCTACTCTCTTAAAACATATTTAAGTGTGCAACACAATATCATCAACTATAGGCACAACATAGTATAACAGATCTCTCTGGAACTTATTCATCTTGCATAGCTGAAACTTGATACCCATTTTACCCTCCTCCCAATCCCTGCAACCATCATTGTACTGTCTGCTTCTATGCGTCTCACTACTTTAGATACCTCGTGTAAGTGGAATCATGCATGATTTGCCCTTTTGGCTGGCTTCTTTCACTTAGCATAATGTCCTCAAGGTTCATCCATGCTGTAGTGAATGAGAAGGACTTCCTCTTTTTTCAGACTAATAGTCCACTGTATGTATATACCACATTTTCTTTATTTATTCATCCAACATTTAGGTTGTTTCCACATCTTAGCTGTTGTGAATAGTGGTGCAATGAACATGGGAGTGAATGCATCTCTTCAACATACTGATTTCTTTTGGAAAAATACCCAGAAGTGGGACTGCTGAACCATATTATAGTTCTATTTTTTAAAAAACTTTTATTTTAACTTCAGGAGTACATGTGCAGGTTTGTCACATAGGTAAATGTGTGTCAAGGAGGTTTGTTTTACAGATCTTTTCATCACCCATGTATTAAGCCTAGTACTCAATAGGTATTTTTCCTGATCCTCTCCCTCTTCCCACCCTCCACCTTCTGATAGGCCTCAGTATGTGTTATTTTCCCTTATGTGTCCACGTGTTCTCATCATTTAGCTCCCACTTATAAGTGAGGACACACGGTATTTGATTTTCTGTTCCTGTTGTCAAGGGGAATGCTAACCTTCTCACCTTTTATACAATACTCTATTTTAATTTTTTGAGAAAACTCCATACTTTTTTCCGTAATGGCTATGTTAATTGCCATTCCCTCTAACAGTGACTAGGGTTTCCTTTTCTCCCTGCCAGCACTTGTCATCTTGTATCTTTTTGATAATAGCCATCAGAACAGTTTCGAGGTGGTATTTCATTGTGGTTTTGATTTGCATTTTCT